ACCATGGTGCATTGAATGGTTTCATTGAATGTACCATCTATATATTAACCGATACCATCTATTAACGGCAAGCGTGACACTGTTTTTTTAAAGTAAACGTACAAAGATATCTTCTTTGGAATAGCAAGGTTAGTAGCGTTTTACCTTCTTTGTGTGCTTTGATACTGTGTCTTTCAGCAAACATATATGTTAAAAAATAAATTCCTGTACAGTCAAAGAAATATTTATACTGTAACTATAAGACGTTTTAGATTTTTTCACATTCCTTTATGATTAAAAAACAATGTGCTATTTCTTAATTGTTGAGCAATCTTAAGAATGTTTGGATTTGAAAACCAGTTTATAACTGGTATAGAAGATCTAAAATTATGTAGGTATATACAGTGATCCTTTCCTGAACTTCAATTTTGTTTCATTTTGTTTGTACTGTAGATTGTATACCATAGCTTTGAAACAAACTTCACTCTGCTTGAAAGTTCCAGAAAGCGCTCTCTGAAAGGTATCTTTAAAATATTTAAAATACCATGTAGTCCATTCTAAACGTCTATATATATATACATTGATATTTAAAGCTACCTCCCTCTCACAATGCCGTAACCAAAAAGCCAACTTTGTTTTCTTTTATATATATACCGGAGCCTGTTTCAAGTGTTTATATATTAAATATCCAGCGAGTTTAACCCAGCTTAAAAGAGATCATTCTGTTAAATACACTAAAATGTAAAGTACATTTGACATGAAACTGTTTATTGTTTTAAACGCAAAACTCTTAAAATTGTCGAGTAACTTCTTTGATAGATTTTTATAGATATTTCATTTTCTTTGATGCATTGCAACCAATTTGACGTCATTTTGACGTCATTTCAATATAATGAGATGTTATAGAAAAGTCTAATATCTTTGTTAATGTCATGCAATGTGAGTGTTTGAAAATCAGCTTTGTGGGAGGAATAAGTATCTCTGCCTCTTGCAAGTAATTTTCAGTGAAAAAAAGGGCAGAAATAAAACATTCATGCACTACTGCCTCATTATTAATGCATGCATGCATGACGTCAAGTCGTAATTGCATTGCAACGAGAGTAAAATATGTCAACATTGATACACGGATACTGTATAAAAAATACTTGGAGTTTTCAAAGTCCTTTCGTTTTAAGACAATAAACTGTTTTGTGTCATATATATGTATTGTTTGACACATATATATATATATCCTGCTTTTTCCACGTTATACCTATTCCAAATTCTAAGCAAATAGCGGCATTTTTAATACGATAAGACGCTGGGACTTATTCCACTTCAAAGTTGTTTGGATAAAAACTTAATTTGCGCCTAGTCAATTCCATTCTGGATTTGTTGATAATTCACGCCTGTGTGTTTTATATTCACAGTTTGTTTAAGAATGTGAAGAAGCGTGAATCAGGTTGAAAATACTGCACGCTTTGTGGAAGGAGAGATTGTTGGATATAGTCTACTGGTTACTGTCAAAGGTAAGTGAAAATTTAGTAATGTAATCGAGTACGATGATTGCCAAAGAGTCACGATATTGAGAAGTGATAATCGAATTCAGTTTCGAAATTATTTAAATTGTATGGTCAGGATTAATTTCTCATTCCAAGAAAGTACAGCGTGTATCAAAAAAACGTATAATCCAACTTCCCCATGTAATTGTTGAGTTTATCAATTTACTCGTTTAGTATCGGTAAAGATCAGCTTTACATGCAGCTGTCGAATGATACCTTTCTTCAATGATTGCGAACAAAAATGGCTAAATACGATACGTTTAAACACTGCTGGTCGAAATAACATTTTCTCACCTCATAAAGATATTAGAAACCTTTAGTTAAGATTGACGTTTGCGGTAGACCGCTATAACCGCAAAAGACAAACTCCAAATTGTATTTTGAGATCAACTGTTAAACCGTACGAAGTTGGGCAATTTGTGCATTAATATTGAAGTATGAATGAGCTATTTTAGCTCTGGAAGTACGATTTGAAGTCTGTTGTATTGTGGTCTATATTCTTCGAATTTTCGAACCGATTTGCCCAAATTTCCATGTGGAAAACATTCCGCCTTGCAGCTTCTCTGCGAACTTCCTGTTTCGTAACGTCGTAACCACAAAATCTTGTTGTTAATTAAATTGCAAGTTAGGTAAACCATCTTTAAATTTACCAAGCCGGATTATATTCTTAAAGTTGTATCCAAAATAAGAAAGATTTCAACTCTCATACAATAGTTTTGTATTCAATTTCCATTGATGGAAAACGCGATTTTGACCGGTCGTTTTAAATCGGATATCGTATTCGGTCATTTTTGGTCGCTATGACACCAAAAAGGTATCATTTGACAGCTACTGTAAAGGCCTAATATTGATTGCTGTGGAAAAAGTAATCTATGTATACCAATACCACGATAAAGATTGGTTTACGCTATCAAAGTTTCTGTGATCAAAGTATAGGAATTTCACATAGGTAAATTCTAAGTTTTGAAGGATTTGTAAGAAATGTTTGAGGGAACTGCATGACTCCACTTAAACAACGAGTCATTTCCCTCAAAAATTTCTTACAAATCATGTACGCCAAAAATTGACAAAGTTTTTCCCTTGAAAAGGAGCCTTGTTCCAATGCTAATCATACCAGCTTTTCAACAAGGAAATGTTTTAAATTTGACAAGTAATTGCGCAGTGCGTCACTGCGCACTCATCTTCGAGCGGCCATTGACATTAAATCTCGTTTGTTTTGAAATTCGCTTTTGAATAGAAGTGTGGTACATCGTTGACTGTTTCAGCTGTTTTTATTTTGTCGGATGTATAATAGCATTGAACGAAGATCATTATGAAATTGTTGACGTACTTAAATAGCGCGGGCGCGTAAAATGTGTCAAGGAAAGATTGATTGATTGAGATGTCGTACACACGAGCAAGTAAAGTCGTCAAGAAGTTTGTCAAAGGAAAACTTGATCGTCTGTTCTGGGCTTTAGATTACCTTTTTTGATACACCCTGTTTATACAACTAATTGAATTAAGATTGTCCTTTATACATAAGTCAAAAACCGCAAAATCCACGACTTCTATGCGCAAAAAGCGCAATGGAAGGGCTTGAGGAGGATGAATGATGATGATAATGCTAAACTTTATTTAACCACGTTAACATTGTCAGCTAAAGCTTGTTTCCACGATGGGCTTGAGTGAACAAAAGTAAATTTACAATATAAGTTAAAGGTAGTAAGATACATGCATATGTGAAAATATAGGCCTACTATAATATACGTTAATTTACTATTTACAACCATACTTTAATAGCGGTGGGTAGTGATTTTTCTTTCGGAAATTGATAGCGTTTTGCTTTCTCTAATAATTTCTGGCAAAGAGTTCCATATGAAAGCTCCGTTATACACGAAACTCTTTTTCAAACTGGTTGAGCTGTCACGAAGATTATGATTTAATATTTCATTTTCTAAAGTAAATATATCTTTGAGGCAATTTGGCCCCATATTATGATTTATGAAGTATCTTAAACATCGTTTTCGCTTTAGTTTTTAATCGTTGTTCATTAATCGTTTTCGCTTCTGTAATCGAGTATGAAAGGGAACATAGCCATTGAATGTGTGTTTTGCAAAATGCTACGAGCAATATACGAAAGAGACTAATATGTCCATATTACTTTCCGCCCTGCGGTTGTGAGTTTTGACCTTCGGAGGATAATGCGTACGCAAAAATGCATTCTGACAATGAAACCAAAATATTACATTTGTCGAAAGTGCAAATAAACGTTGCAATGGACTCTTCGCATACCAATTTAAGTTGGTCTATTTAGAACGCCCAACGAAGGATGGGTCTTGCTAGACTTCTAGGACGGTTTAAAAAAGCAGGTCGAGCTGTTCGGTATAAATAAAGCTAATTTAACAGCAGGCATTGCCGGAAGGACTAACATGTATGCACGCGCCTTTTGCCATGCAAGCGCCTTTTTCATGATGAAGAAATTTAAGAAAAGATTTATATAAGGACATGCACGTTAAGTTTATCTCACAGATTGACTGCTTTTTGTCTGGATAATAAATGTTACTGTTATGAAATGCAGGCGTGTCTTATGCTTTCATCCGCTGTTGTATGTGTGTCTGTTTGTCTATCAGCACGATAACGTAAAAAAATATCAAACGTATTAATACCAAAATTTTTACGACTAATGGACATAAAGGCGGATCTCCACTAGACGATTTTTGAGACGATTTTTATGACGATCGTCATAAAATTCGCGACGATTTACGGATTTAGAGAGAATTGGAGATGTACTAGCAGCAAGAAAAAAAGCGCGGAATCTTATTGGTTAAAAATGTGGTGATCGTCTGACGCTCGACGGAAAGTAGAAGTAAATCCTACTTTTCGTCGAGCGCCAGACGATCGCTCTTCGAACATTTTTTTCAATTGCGCATGTGTCGCGAACTGTTTTGACGATCGTCTAAAAAGTCGTCTAGTTGAGATCCGCCTTTACCCAAGGACAAATTGGTTAAACTTGTGTTAAATTTAGATGAAAATTTGATGCTTTTTGGGGCGGAGTAAATTGAATACGTAATTAGCTCATTGTATAATTTATGCATGATACATAACTTAATTCGTTGGCGGTATGCGGTCCCCGTGTGCCATCTAGTTTATTCTTGGTTTAGTAGAGATACGCGAAAAGAAGCCCCTTGCTTGGCCTGTTCAAGAGACCCACAGAACTGGTCGTATGTAGGATTGTCATTCTGGCGTATGAAACACCACTAATATTCCTGCCCATGTGACGTCTTTAAACGTATATTTATTCGAGTGCGTGCGCATATTATGCAGATGAGCCGTAATTGATTTAGGTTCTTTTCTGCGTGTGGCTAGTTGATCCGCAAAAAGCCAGGAAACGACGTCTTCGCTCGATTCAGCCTCTAATTGTTTTGATCTTGTAAAGCTATTTACTTTCCCTCTAACTGAGCTGAGGCCTCCCATGTAGATTTTTCAGTAGCTATGGCCGCCATTTCCATGAAATCGTGTAGTCGTCGAGAAGCATTATCTTCAAATTCCTCACAATGGTTTTAAAATTAAAGCCCCGGTCAAATGAGAGTTAGCAGTCACGCATTGTTACAGGGGACCATTTCAAGCTCTAGATGAACAAAATAAAGGTTTGACGAATGTTCTAACCATGCTTTAACTTAAATAGAATACATGATAGTGTTGAGAAAGCATTAAGAACAGCTAACTGAATTTCCTACATTGATACTGAAAAGTAGCGAAACATTCATTTCCCCATTTTCATAAAATGTTTTAACTATGAAATAGACACTTCGTGAATTTGCTAGCGCTGGCAACGAGAACTACTTGTTTACAATGGATTTCATTTCCTGCCTCGATTTCAAGCTATCGTGTCGTGTGCATTCACGCCAATTCGGGAAGTGTCTATCTTACTGTAAATTTGTAAACAAGAGGGCACGCGTGGAGACTGCACATTCCATCAGCGAATTTACTCTGCTCCGCAAAGCGAGACAAGCTTTTGCTAATTCTTCATTCAAATTTGACCGAAATTTTATCAAGTTGTCCTTAGGCAATGGCCATCTGTTCCACAAAGTTATTCACTGTGAGTCAAACACACGCACGTGCAATCTAACAAACGCGAATGAAAAAATGTTTTTAAGTACTATATCCAACACGAGTAAGTGTTCTTCCTCTGATTTCTAAATACAGACAAAGGCGAAGCCGAGTTTTCAGTTTAACCAGCTTGTCTGTACTGTATTTAGAAATCAGAGGATGAACACTTACTCGTGCTGGATATAGACTATAGTACTTCTCAAACTCATTGATACTTTAAGAGAAAATCGAGTTTAAAGTCGACGAAAAACGGCTGTAATCTTCCCGTCTTATTTCTAAATACAGAATTAATATGCATTTCTTTTGAATTTCCTTCATGAATTATTAATGAGTTTGAGAATTCAATTCACTCAATTCCCGATTTCGACCGGCCATTTTGGATCGGATATTATATGGCCAGCTTTCATCGCAGTGATGCCAAAAAAGTCGCATTTTACTGCTAAATACCTAATCTTTATTCGCATATGGAAAGAGTTCGTCCTATTTCACGACGCCATGCCAAATTCTGCCTTTACACCCTTTTAATACATCCTTATTATACATCCTTTATAATTGCAGTGACCTTGCATGAAATTGGCTCGTGTTTACTTCAATACGGATAAAATGGTTTAAAATAAGGATTATACCTTAACGGATAAAGCCTGCTGAAATGTAATGTCTGGAAATATATTTTTTATGCTCACTTTTGGACATGATGGCATGCACGCAAAGATGACGGCACAGAGTAAGTACATACAGAGGTCTCACTTCAGGTTATAAATTTAGCGTAAGGGATGTTTTCAGTTCGCCATGTTCTTAGCAAGTGCCTTATAAGCGAGTCCGTCACCCCCCTGAAAACATATTGGAATTTAATGTTCCAGGGGGGGTGAATGCCTCTCTTTGGGGCACTTGTTAAGAACATGGCCGCCAGCTATTTTGGTAAAAACTACCTTACGGTTTTCCCGCAGAAGTGAGACCTCTGTGTGTATAAGTACTCTGTGATAACAGCTATCAGCGCAGTAAAATTCATCACATGACACAAAAGAATATCTCGTTTGATAATAATGTATCAATGATAAGAATATCTAATTTGATAATAATAATTTTTGAAAATTTTGAATGAAATCAAACCTTATTCAACGTTATCCAACATTATCCAACGTCATCCAACGTTATCCAACATTATCCAACGTTATCCAACTTTATCCAACGTTCAACATTATCCAACGTTATCCAACATAGTGTTGAAACAACCCAGTAGTGTTGCATGATGCCGGACCAACATGTTGGATTCATTTTAACTCCCGAGGGACCCTCGGAAATACCAAGCTGTGTGTAAAAGCCCGGATAAAACGAGGATGCGAGTGCGTGCATGAGAGTTAGCAGTCACGCGATCTTGGTTAGCTGTTCTTAATGCTGTCCCAACACTATCATGTATTCTAAGTTAAATCGTAGCTGAAACACTGGTCCAAACTTAATTTTGTTAATCTAGAGCTTGAAATGTCCCATGTAACAGTGCCTGACTGCGTGACGTTCTTGTTTTTCACAATATCAAAGTTTCTGTGATCACAGTAGGAATTGTGCATGGGTACATTCTAAGTTTTGAAGGATTTGTAAGAAATATTTGAGAAAACCGACTCAGTGTTTAACATTGAATCGGTTCCCTCAAGCATTTCTTGCAAATCCTTCAAAACTTTGAATTTACCTATGCAAAATTCGTATTGTGATCACAGGAACTTTGATAGGAATGGACCTTTCCCCTTATAACTAAAATTTCGATCTAGACAAAAATTTCATCACAGCTTGAAAGAGCATCACAAAATTAGTAATATTCCAAAGTTTTGTTGTAAAATCTTGTAAAATGCGGATAATATAGCCTTGCGAAGTTTGCCGTTTTTCAGTCATTTTGTATTACAAACGGGAAATTGACATACGATTCGGGTGTTGGGGCTGCAATTTCCCGTTTGTAATGCAAAATGAATGAAAATTGCAAACTTCGCAAGGCTCTATTTTCCTCATTTTACAACATTTCGCAACGAAACTTTGGAATATTACTAATTTTGTGATGCTCTTTCAAGCTGTGATGAAATATTTGTCTAGACTTGCCTAGATCAAAATTTTGGTTATAAGGGGAAAGGTCTAATGGGTAAATTCTAAGTTTTGAAGGTTTTGAACATCATGAATCAGTTCCCTCAAGCATTTCTTACAAATCCTTCAAAACTTACCTGTGCAAAATTCCTACTGTGATCACAGGAACTTTGATAGTGTAAACCTGCCTCCAAAAGCCCGAAGGGTAACTTGTGGTATCGTCTAGCGGTTATTGAAGGGGAAACGTATAAATGCGTGCAAATTAAATCTATGTTGTTCTGTAATTCGCTTGCGTGTCTATACAATCCCCACAGCTCGACGCTGAGCTAACAAGATACTGTAGCTTACTTTGTCAAATTCTAATTATTTTATTATACATCTTCCTGTACCTATAGACTGGAACATCTCAGCAGGGTTTGTCATCCTTTGGGCTATACCACACAAGATTTGCAATCACACGCGATAAGGGTTGAAAGTGTTCACTGTTGATCTTCAGAGTACACCGGCAACGATTGAGAACAACGTGAAACCTATATGCAAGTTTGCAAAGGACGTTTGATTGTAAAGAACGGAAGGAGCTATACCATCATTCCATTTGCAAAATTGTCTTTAACCACCTCAATTTCTTGGTAGATTTGACAGCACAAAGGGTGAGTTTATTTGGATTTTATATTCCGGTTTTATTTGTTTGGCTAATATAACAAAATCTATATATTGTTATCATATTGTCTTGGTTTCTATGAACTATTACCCGAGAAATATTGAGGTTTTTTATATGTTACGTAACACGCGTTCAAAACTAAGGCCTCCCAGTCAAATAAGAATGAGCTCGGAGAATGAGAGTTGGAAGTCACGCATTGTTACAGCCTACAGGGGACATTTCAAGCTCTAGATTAACAAAATAAAGGTTTGACGAGTCTTCCAGTTACCTTTTAACTTAAATAAAATGCATGGTAGTCTTGTATGGGAAAACATTAAGAACAGCTAGCTAATGTCGCATATAACTGCACGCCACGCGCTTAACGAATATAATAATGCCACTTGTACATTCAACATTTTTAGCTTTTAATATTTTTCTCAATCGGCAAACAAACTTAAAAGCATGTTTAGTGTTTTATATCTGTAAAATAATGCTATAATGAAGAGGTTTAGATTGTATATACGCCAAAGAGAAAATTGTGTCTGAAATTCAGTAAGTTTTGCTTATATATTGTTGCATGCGGGTATGCATCAATCTGAAAGCATCATTGACAGTTTTTTTTGTATATATTTTATTTTTCTCAACCAACAGATTTATCTAAAGAAGTTGCTAACTGTATAAACCAGAAAATAAAGCTAAAACAAAGTAGTTTTGAGAGGTACGCCAAAAAGATTTTAGGTTTTGAGCACTTTTCATCGCGCAAATTTGTGACATAGAAAAAAAAAACGCGTTGACGTTTTGAGCGACGGCCCATCGTCAGGGCCGCTTGTTCAAGGTAGTTAGATTAGCGCTAATCCTCGTTTAAAATTTAACCAGCTGTTTTAGTTTATGTATTCCTACACCTCTGTGGATTTCGAAACTTCATAGAGAAGAAAACTTCTATACTGATCCGGACAAGATTTTTGAACAAATATTTCCATGCATGCATGCACAATGGACCGTTTGCATTATAGACTAAATTTTGATCTAGACAAAAAATTCACTACAGCTTGAAAGAGCATCACAAAATTAGTAATATTCCAAAGTTTCGTTGCGAAATGTTGTAAAATGTGGGTAATATATATAGCCTTGCGAAGTTTGCCGTTTTTCAGTCATTTTGTATTACGCACGGGAAATTGACAGCCCAATCGGGTGTTGGGGCATCAATTTCCCGTTTGCAATACAAAATGACTGAAAATTGCAAATTTCGCAAGGCTATATTATCCGCATTTTACAACATTTCGCAACGAAACTTTGGAATATTACTAATTTTGTGATGCTCTTTCAAGCTGTGATGAAATGTCTAGACTTGTTTAGATCAAAATTTAGTCTATAATGCAAATGGTCCATTGATAAACAAGCGAAGTTTGCTGAGAAGTTGAGAACTGTTGAGAAGTTTGCCTTGAATTTCAGGAAACCAAGGGTTATGCTAATCGGCTTTCCAATAACTGGCCCTGCAGGAGGTTAGCGCAATAGGGAATTTAAGCTTCACGTTTCCGGGAACAGCAAACGGCAGGTTCGATCTTTCTTGGCAAAATTTTCGTTAAACGTTTTTCCGGTTTCATATTTTCTTTCTTGTGTCGAAAGAATAGTCATGCATTGCAGTTTTAAAACAGCAAGTTCATTTACTCTTTATTGCCTGATATACCGTAATTTTTTTCTTTGCCTGGCGTTTGCCGTTTGACGTATAACGCGAAGCTTAAACTCTCTATTATGACTAATGTTGACTGTTGGTGTACTAATAATCATCTGTCACTCGAAACGTCGAAGCTTTTTTAATCTTTTTCAAATATACTTCAGAAACAAACAACGACAGTCGCGCTTATACTAACTACACTGCATGGTTTCCGACGTTTGAGATATCACGCGTAAAGATATTTTATGCTATCGTTCTTTGGCGGGTATATTGTACGATGGCTGGAGAAGTTAGGAAATCGCCCTGGAGCAATGTCACCTATAGCTCCATAGTGTAAGGCGCTAACTCCAAATTAAGACTGCAAAACTTCATTGAATTCAGGAGTTACATGCCAACTACGAAAATCGTGTGAAAACAGTAGAGTTGCCTTTCTAAACATAGAGCTACTGACTAACAACTCCAAAAATCATGTGCATTTATAGCTATCTAAACCTATAGAGTTACTGCTGGCTAACAATCTGAGTTGCTATATAGCTATCTAAACAGAGAGTTACTGACTATAACAACTCTAAAAATCATCACCAGCTACAGTCATGGCAAAGATTATGTGGACACTAAAGTATTACATGTTCATTTTCACGTATTAGCATCTTTCTACCCTTCGCTTCGACAGACTATAGCACCAGAGTAGTATCGTCTTTGACCTTCACACCCAGCCATAAAATTATTTTCTCGCCCACTCTTCCCGTCCGTAGGATAACAGAGACGTAAGGATATAGTTCCGTTTAAAAATTCAATTCAGTGAAATACCGAAGAAATTTGCAGAAGCATTCAATTTATAGTCGATTTTTTAGCGAATCTCTGATAAATCGTATATGTGTTTTGTTTTGATGTGTTCCCGAAATACGTCACGCCGACGGTAAAAGGTATTCTCGAGTCGCCCCAGTTCGTTGATGTTCACGGTAACGCGAAAACTTCCCAAAAATAACCCGAAATAATCGAATACACAAATTTCCCGATCATGCATGACATAAACACTTTAAACTTTCTTTGTCTTTCTTCGTTAGAAGATTGACGGTTTTAATTATTAAGGAAGGTCAAACGTAGATGTATTTCCGAGGACTTCAAAAACATGAAATAAAGACTGACTTTTTCGCCTCTGCGATCATGCCGAAAGGCATGCATTAAGTCCCAAATATGTGTTTTTATTTGTACGCAAGCATTGTATAAAATGGTTAGCATTCCCTTTTAACAAGCATATAAGCACACTGAGAGTGGCAAGTGCTAATATTGGTTCCCCTTATAAGTATGTTGATGAAATAAAGTATATTTCTTATGTCTCTCGAAGTTTCGCCGAAGTAGCTTATACTTTACACTTAACTATTGAATATTTCACATCTTGATAATCTCTCGAGAGGGAATTCCTGCGTGTGGCGTTCTCAAGCATCCTTCTATAAGAACCTGGTGTATGTAATCGAATCAGTGTGATCATATAAAAGATATATTAACGTGACGTTACTGTGGAAATATATGAACAAATGTTGTAGGAATCATAAACAGATATGCCACATGGCGATGAAATTTTGTGAGGTTGTCAAATGATCTATATTCCCTTTAACATCGGATGAAAGACAGTCTTGTCCTGACAAAAGAGTTCTTGGCTTGTTGTTCTTTCAGTTTCACTTGAAAAGGAATATTCTGGAACTTTTTTTAGACCTCTCCAACCCGCAAGAGTTGGAAAAAAACGGTCTACAGTGTACAGTCAGACTGAGTTCAGACTGAGTTTATCTTCGACCTTCCTTCGTCGTTATTTTGATCCGAATTGGCCTGAGTTCAATTGGCATTCTTTTTCAGTTTCTGGAAAGATTCTATGGATTCAATCTTGTTTGTTATGGAATATTTATGCTAGACAATTGTGAAAGGTAGGACAAGAGAAATGTATGTGTATATACATGCTATATATGCATCGAGAAAGGGTTATCTTGTCACAATGATTTTATGGAATAGCAGCCCATTCAACAGTCAGTACATAGGGTAGAATGTTGCATGAGAATTTGTGTTCGTGCAGGCTATTCCCTTGAGGAAACAGTGTTTCTTTCATATTCTTCAGAAGGAGTTGTTATGAATCATCATTTTAATGAAATCTGCACTCAAGGTCATGATCTTGTACTAAACATCGAATTCTGTACAACAGATCATTTTAAAACAGCCCACGTTCAAGAACGTGTACCATTCCCGTATGATCTAACCATACTTAATCTGTAGTCTGCGTGACTTTGCAGAGCTATACTCTTTGTGACTTTGTGAAAAGGTCTCCGCGAGGTTTGAGACAAACATACTGTACTGTGAAGGTGCCTCTTACACGTGAATCAGGCTCGTGAAAATAACAAAGCCCCAGGCCTTTTCAGGTCTGGGCAAATATCAGCATTTTGTTTATCTTCACTCGATAGAACTAACTCTACAGGGGTTTGGTAGATGGAAATTTTCGAGTGTGATTTTTATACATTTATTAAACCTAACAAAGGAACAGCTCGGAAAAATGAAACTATAGACCTTCTGGCAGAAATCGAATCTGCGACCCTGCGATTCCAGTGCAGCGCTCTAACCAACTGAGCTACAGAGGCCAGCTTTCGGGCTGTATATAAACCACAGGTTTATGTCTGTGTACAGCTATTTCAGTGAAGGTTGTCCCCGAGCAAAGCGGAAAAGTCGAATACGAGCGCGAAAGGCTTGCTGGGAATCGCTAAAAAATTAATGAATTTTTTAGCGATTCCCAGCAAGCCTTTCGCGCTCGTATTCGAGTTTTCCGCTTTGCTCGGGGACAAACTTCATTGAAATAGCTGTATACTAAGATGTATGGGCAATGTAAGGTGTATCTCACTCCGAATATTAACATCTTGTAAACTGTCGATATGAGCTATTGAAACTGCCAAGACTATAAATTCAAGATGATATTTCGACTCTGTTTGAAAGTCATTGTATGTCAAACCTAGTTATTGTTAAGCGTGCTCAGATCTTAAATAGGAAGATGACGTCATCAGTTAAAAAGTGAGAACAAACGAATAGGAGATTTCAAACCGCATTTCTGGCTTATTAAGTTTTACTTCTGCGAAACAACAACAGATCTGGATTTTTTATCTCAAATATAATCTCCTATTGTTGTTCTCATTATTCTCGCTTTTCAACTGATGACGTCATCTTCCGCTTTGGTATCTGTAAAGATCGTAAACAAGTCTGACAATGACTTTGAAATTGAGTGGAAATATTGTACCTTGAATTTTGTGTCCTGTTTGCGATATCTTGAGTCTAATGACGACAGTATTTGCATGAGCACCACAAATGACAAATTTACTGTGTATATATAAATTGCATTATAGACTAAATTTTGATCTAGACAAGTCTAGACAAAAATTTCATCACAGCTTGAAAGAGCATCGCAAAATTAGTAATATTCCAAAGTTTCGTTGCAAAATGTTGTAAAATGCGGATAATATAGCCTTGCGAAGTTTAACGTTTTTCAGTCATTTTGTATTACGCACGGGAAATTGACAGCCCAATCGGGTGTTGGGGCATCAATTTCCCGTTTGGAATACAAAATGACTGAAACATGCAAATTTCGCAGGGCTATATTATCCGCATTTTACAACATTTCGCAACGAAACTTTGAAATATTACTAATTTTGTGATGCTCTTTCAAGCTGTGATGAAATTTTTGTCTAGACCAAAATTTAGTCTATAATGCAAATGATCCATTGGTGAACCACTAGTGGCCTCTCCTTTCCTCGTGATTTTGCTAACTAATGAAGTCACTGCAATGGCTGCCTCAAGTCATATTATCAAGCTTTCGTTGGTAAGAATGCAACTACCTGAAAAATATAAGGAGAATTTCGACGTTTCGAGCGAAGGCCCTTCGTCTGGAGTTAGCAGCCAAACATTCTAAAATTCATTGAGGAATGTGTGGCAAGCTGTATTTTTCAAGTCACATACCAAACGGCATTTGCTTCATAGCATAACTATTTTCGACACTTAACCGTTTGTAAAGGATTTGACGGATTTAAAAATCTCTCATTAAAAATATTCTGGCTTCAAAATAAAAAGGACGCCCTATATCCAGTGCTATTTTGTAGACCAATAGTTATATGCAGTATAGCAGAATCGGACTGATTCGCACAAGGCTGTGTTAGAAACACCCCTTCAATTAACATGTGAAAAAAACATTGGCATGGTTCCCAAGATACATTGTACATCACAATAAACAAACAGAAAAATATTTTTCTTACATATGAAAGAAACGTTATGCTGTTGCTGTGGGCAATAATGTCGATAATGATGATAATAAGCACTTACAAATGGTCATGCTCAAAGCGTGATTAGTGCTGCCTCATTGGTTCGTTTTGAAATTCTCTCATCGTGCCGTTAATTTTGAGAGACAATTAGGGGTTAAGGATTCTGTATTGACTTTGGGTGGCATTACAGAGAACATCTCTTAAAATTGGTTGGCAGTTTTTAAACTGTAAGATATATAATTGGCAAGGACTGTAATATACTTTGTCGTTTCTGTGGATAGTGTAAGGTAAAGATGTTTATTTGTTGCGAATTTTTTTTCATAATATTGAATAGGAATTATAAAGAACGTGTAATTTACAGCAATTTGCAGCTTAGCATATAATATACTGCTCTGCCCACCTTAGAGAAAATTGTTTGCTTAAACGTAATTGACGTATAGTTGATTTATATCTGTGCGATGAAATGATAGTGTTCAAAATGTATCTTTTTATACAGTGAGAGAGGAATGAGGAATTATCAATAATAAGAACAATGCTAAGTCGTCGAACCCGCGTGTGAGATAATTCCTTAGGCACTCGTGGGTACAATAGTTAAATAATAATTAGAACCGTTTTTAGGGCCTGTTTACGAGATTTTTGCTGCGGTTTTACAGGTGCGATTTTCGTCTTCTGATGCATGTGAACGAGCGCATGAGTCACGAACCTTCAGACCAGGGTACATCAGTGGGACTTCTACTCAGAACATTTATAACTCGTCTACTCGTTCACATGCGTCAGGAGAAGAAAATCGCAGTACAAATTGTAAGTGTATAAATGGGCCTTTACCGTGGGAATTTTGGCCTGAGCCAAGCCAAAGCAAGGCCAGACGTACAGCTATAATGGACTATTTGCATTATAGACTAAATTTTGATCTAAACAAGTCTAGACAAAAATTTCATCACAGCTTGAAAGAGCATCACAAAATTAGTAATATTCCAAAGTTTCGTTGCGAAATGTTGTAAAATGCGGATAATATAGCCTTGCGAAATTTGCAATTTTCAGTCATTTTGTATTCCAAATGGGAAATTGATGCCCCAACACCCGATTGGGCTGTCAATTTCCCGTGCGTAATACAAAATGACTGAAAAACGGCAAACTTCGCAAGGCTATATTATATCCGCATTTTACAACATTTCGCAACGAAACTTTGGAATATTACTAATTTTGTGATGCTCTTTCAAGCTGTGATGAAATTTTTGTCTAGATCAAAATTTAGTCTATAATGCAAATGATCCATTGCGATACGTTTATACATTGTTTATACTTTGGCATATGGCATGCCTGTCCGAGACAGCAAAATGCTCGCAGTTTAAACACGGGTTAAGACGGAGTATAATTGAACTAACTTTATATATAATGACAGGGATTAATACAATAGACTCCATACTACCACAAGAAGATTGAGTTATAAAAGGAGATCCCTACCTCACTTCCACCAAAAGCCCCCCCCCCCCCTCCGCCCGTAAAATTCTTGATTTTGTTTCCATGAAATACTATTTCCCCCATTCAGGCAGCACTTTTAAGCAAACAAGTCTAGTTCATGTAAACGAGTTTAAAGGTGTGGTAAAAAATATACAGCGAGCAAGTACTTTCTTCCTTTTTACAGTTAATTATTCACAATCGCCGTTTTTTTACTGTATACCGGTGGCAGAAAAGTACTTGTATTAATTCCTGACTGGACGGCCCTGCCCTATCAGTTCTAAGTATGTAGAGGTCCTATATTGGTCCAGTGTAAAGCGATGAGATGATATCATTTCGTGTTAGAGAATGGCGGAAAATACCAATATTAACCAGTTTAATTCTTGTCGAGGTCTCTATTATATGCACATTGAAAAAATTGTCTGGCCTAGAAAAAGTTGTCGAAACTTTGGGGTAACATTAATCCTCAGGATATTTTTAGCAAATTGCTCTTTTAAATACTAGGTTAGGTTAGTTTGCTGTGTACGTAATATTTATGATTGCGAACCCTTGAAAAGTTTAATTTGAAGTTCAGCGAAAAATAAAAAATTGTAAGACACTTGATATATTGGGCCAATTGTTGACATGGTACACGCATTTACGGGTTATTTATATAGGGATAGTGCTTTCACTTGAGATTAGAGTGTCACAAATATGATTTTTGGTATGTGTAATATTTGGGTCATTCTGTGGTTAACTTTTTCACAGTCAAAGTTTCCAGATATGATGTCATTAGATGGAATTTTGTGTAGTGTGCAAAAAGAGGAATCTAATTTACAATTCATCTTATGACGTCATATCCGGAAATTTGACAGCGAAAAAAAAGTTGTTCAAGATGAGGTTTTTTGCTATAAATATCTATTACATTTCTTCTCCGGATGACTCATCATCTATCACACATTACAAAACATCATATCATTGGGGTTAGTCGCAAATAGTTTTATATACAGAGAAGTGTTGACTATTATGCGTATATTATGAGAACATTATGCGAGATTTTACCTGACAATTAGGGGACCGGTCATTACTTATGGCAGGGGGTGACGCCAAAGAGAAAATGGTTGGGTAAACAAAATTTTGAGTGAGTAAAAGGTTGGGTAAATGAAACACAAAACAACTCAAGGGTTGGGTAATAAAAATTTATTGTCATTTCCAAAGCATGACTCACTTCAGATATTGAAGACTAAAAAGCAATGTCAACAGTCATATGTCAGTACAATATGTAAATCAATCAGAGTCATTATCTTGATCATTCTCCGATTGGTCCACAGGCGGCCCAGACGTGTATTAGTGTATAGTAAATATATCATTATAGAATATACTACACAGTAAAATTTGTAATGAATTTTATATTTTAAAATCATATTTACTTGCCTACTTTGATTGTATGTGATCGTCTTTTATTTCTGAGCGACTTTACATTCGATGCCTGCGACTGTCTTCATAGGTGATAGTATTGAAAGCAAAGGCTAACGATTCCAGTTCTCAAACAGCCGACACGAACAATTCAAATCGAAAAATATCCCCTTCAAATTGCTTTCTTCGCGGTAAAACTTTGCCAGCGTATAGAATAAACACCCATCTTCGAACATACAATGCAATATTAACACGTCCTATAATTTTTGCAATGGATTTTTAGCGAAATGTTTCGAGACTAAAATTCTATGGAACTTAGAAAGCCCGATAATTACTACGGCGCCTGCTTGGCCACCTAGCCTCCTTTACCGTTTGGATTTTCAGGGGGGGTTGAATAAAAAACACCTATTTCCGGCAACAGCCAGCCAGTCAACGTCGCGATACCGACTGTTTACAATATTTGAAATCTGATATTGTAATTTATCAACAACAAAACTTTTTCGATCGATCGATCGTATAGTATAAGATAGAAAGACAGCTTTTGCAAATTTACAATATCAGATTTCAAATATTGTAAACAGTCGGTATCGCGGCGTTGACTGGCTGGCTGTTGCCGGAAATAGGTGTTTTTTATTTGACCCCCCCCTGAAAATCCAAACGGTAAAGGAGGCTAGGTGGCCAAGCAGGCGCCGTAGTAATTATCGGGCTTTCTAAGTTCCATAGAATTTTAGTCTCGAAACATTTCGCTAAAAATCCATTGCAAAAATTATAGGACGTGTTAATATTGCATTGTATGTTCGAAGATGGGTGTTTATTCTATACGCTGGCAAAGTTTTACCGCGAAGAAAGCAATTTGAAGGGGATATTTTTCGATTTGAATTGTTCGTGTCGGCTGTTTGAGAACTGGAATCGTTAGCCTTTGCTTTCAATACTATCACCTATGAAGACAGTCGCAGGCATCGAATGTAAAGTCGCTCAGAAATCGATCACATACAATCAAAGTAGGCAAGTAAATATGATTTTAAAATATAAAATTCATTACAAATTTTACTGTGTAGTATATTCTATAATGATATATTTACTATACACTAATACACGTCTGGGCCGCCTGTGATTGGTCAAGAGGCAAATGGTGTCTCCAAAGAAAGTACATGTGCAGACGACATGAAACATTAGATTGCAGAAAATGACACAAGCAGTTATCAAACTTATGTCACACTGAAATGGTAAAGGACATGTGTGACAACTGAACGGTAGCCTTTTGTAACGTTTTTGGCCAGGGGTATTTCATTTTTTAAATTATATTTGTAGTTGGTAAAAAAAATTTGATTTTAATGGTTGGATCAACAGAATTTTTACCAAGAAACACATTTCTCTAATTCGGTGCCATCCTCCGCTATAAATCAGTAATGAACTGTCCCTTAATACTGGATGAATAATGAATGCGGAAACAGCGATAGATATAGAATACCCGTCCATTTTGACATCTAACACTTATTAATACCTTAATAGCATTTTTTTGCAATTTCGTGATATTTTGTCATTTCGTGAGTTTGAGTGAGTGAAATTTATACTGTAACTATGACGGGGTAATTTTAAGAGCATCTCTCGAGTTCTGATATTGATATAGTATAATTAAACTATTATACCAGGATGTGTTCAAAACGTGATGAACTCGCGATATTCGTCAGTTGCATGCAAATATTGTTAGCAGGTTTTCGCCATGTTGTCCAATGACACCGTGGGTGCATAGCAACCCATTTTCGTGTACGTGGTTAAAAAAAACATGGCGCTTGATATCAGTTGTCAGATGCTCATAATTTGCTGTTGTTTCGACAAAAAGTATCGAAACTTATGCAACAGATATAGTTAACAGCAAGTGACATTACGTTTTGGGGTATTCAACAAATATCACAGCTTGCAAGTTGGTGTTGGATGGCCGCCTATAGCTAGATTTTATAGCATATATATAGGCCTATACCTTGACTGCGTTATACGAACTCTCATCCATTCTCTTCATTTTTATACTTGACAGTAAGTCTACATATTATATATTGTTGATCAGTCTATTTGGGTATTCGGGATCCTTCGCTTTCCCAAAAAAAAACATAATTTCAGATATCTATATCTCAAATCTTCAATGTATAGGTCGTATTCTACAATAAGTTGCCATGGTTTGTGTTTAAACTACCTGAAGAAATATCTCAAACGTTAGTATACCTATAATATCTCAAACGTTAGGTAGTATTCCACAGTAAGTTCCCGTGGTTTGTGTCTGAACTACCTGAAAAAAAATATCTCAAACGTGATGGTCCAGTTTAGGTAGTATTCTATACACTAAGCTGTCGTGGTTTGTGTCTAAACTGTCTGAAAAAGATATCTGTAACGTGATGGTCTAGTGTTCGTATTCTAATATAAGCTGCCGTAGTTTGTGTCTGAACTATCTGAAAAAGAGATCTCAAACGTGGTGGTCCAGTGTAGGTAGTATTCTACAATAAGCTGCCATGGTTTGTGTCTCCAACTACTTGAAAAAATATATCAAACATGAGGTCCATGCAGTGTAGGTGGTCTGTGTCTAAAGGAAGAGATTATTTCGCTGGCCTCAGAGTGACAAAACGTAACAAAGCAACGGTTTTACTAGCACTAACCCTACTCCAAACACCAATTCTAACCCTAATCCTTACCCTTACCCTAACCTAACCTTACTCCAAATTTGTTTTTAAACCAATCTTGAAGAAAAAAGTTTTGACGAAATGTCATTCTGAGGTCAGCGAAATAGTTGATGCCGTGTCTAAACTATCTGGAAAAGATATATGTAACGTGGTGGTCCAGTGTAGGTCGTATTCTAAAAAAAAAACAGGCGTAGTTTGAGTGTGAACTTTCTGAAAAAGATATCTCAAACGTGGTGGTTCAATGTAGGTAGTGTTTTACAATAAACTGACGTAGTTTGTTACTGAACTATACTTCAGGAATATTCGACGTTTCAATTGGAGACGTCTCTTCGGCAGGAAGCCACCATATAGTCTCTTTCAGTGTAGTTTAGACACAAAAACCGCGACGGAAACGTATACACTACGAGCAAAACAATTTTGAGCTTCGTCAGCAAATTCGATACCGCGTAAAAGGGTGTGGTCGACACCAAGTTCATTTACCGTCGATACGTGTTCGATGAAAAATCTAGAAAACAATGATGGGAAAATCATGCCCTAATTGACTTCTTCGATATTTTCTATAATAACAACAAGCTATATGAAATTTTCCGCAGCTTTTTATGTCTCAAGACATCATATGGAAGTTGTTGGTCTAATTGTGTTTTCACAGCGGGCTCGCTGAGTCCTGCAAAGCTTCGCTGTTATCCGCGCGGAAGGTACTTGTATCGCCGTTTCTATACAAACGATCTGACCGGCTATTGTTGGAAGCGATCCAAGCCCAATTTAGAAAGCCTTGTTCGGCCGTGGGATAGAACTATTATAGACCTTTGCACGCTGCTTTGCACGATCTATTTAAGTTTCTAGATAGATAGATAGATTGTTTGTTTAATAAGATTAACACATAGCAGCCAAGAGGCTGAATTGCGTGCTAAATTTTACAAGAGAAATGATTAAATTAGTTATTCTATATTTACATATAGAATATATTTACATATAGAATATATTTATATATCTATATTTCTGTGATCACAGTAGGAATTTTGCATGGGGAAATTCTACGTTTTGAAGGATTTGTAAGAAATATTTGAGGAAACTGACTTATGTTAAACACTAAGTCTGTTTCCTCAAACATTTCTTACAAATCCTTCAAAACTTAGAATTTTACCTATGCAAAATTCCTACTGTGTTCACAGAAACTTTGATAGTGTAAACCATCCTATATAAGACCGGTTTCAATATTCGTTTACGTTCATACACATCTGATTAAGTCCTAGGACTGGATCAAATTACGCGGACTTGAAATCTAGTCCAGTCTTCATAGTCTGATTTGAAATATTACATCTCAAACTCATTAACAATTCATGAGTAAATTAGCCAACCATATTGCTTTATTTTGCTCACATTATAATACTGAATCCTTGGACTGGTCAAAATTAATTCACCCCACTTTAAGTAGTGATTTAATGAGTTTGAGATGCTCTCGTCTGTGTTGTTGAAATCGAATAGAATTTTTAAACGCGAACGAGGACAAGATGTATATGTAAAAGAATATTTAAATCTGTTTCTATTTATAAGATTGGTTTATGAACAAACAGCCTGGTAAAAACATTTTCAAATTGACTAATTCTGATTAACTATAAATTATCTTTCGCGTTAAATATGCTAATTTTTTTTAAGAAGAACGACGTTCCAGAAATCCGAAAATACGAGTTCGACACCGCTCGAGACAGCCAATTTTTCGTTGTACTCGGCAGTGTCAGAATGATATGAAACTAATTTTTTATATCTCCCAGGATGGTTCTGAAATATAATAATATTTAATATTAAGATATATAAGTTACCACAAATTATAATAGCGTTACAAACTGAGTTACTGTTTAGATATAGGTTATAGAATAGTCTATATAGAGAAAGTATAGAGAAATAAAAATAGAATCATGTCAAAACAGCCAGACCCAAAACCATCCCATGCAAATTCTGCGTCCACCGCCAGGCTGACCATGGACTAATTAGGCTGACGGTGCAATTTTGGGACGAAATGAAGTCATTTTTATTTACTCATATTTTGGCGGTAGGAAAATTATCTCGGATACATTATTACATTACAGATAATTTTCCCACCTCCGATATACGAGTAAATAAAAATGACTTCATTTCGTCCCAACAATTGCACTGTCAGGCTCATTAGTGCATGGTCAGGCTGGCGATTGTTCCGCCAAAATTTGCGTAGGAGGCGTGAGTCTGTTGGTTTGTTTTTTTGACAGTATTATTAGATTTTTATTTTTTTCCGACTTTCTTTATATAGATTCTAACCTAATTTAGAAATAAGTTAATTAGTTCATTTGAAAATGTTTTTACCAGGCTGGCTTGTTGATAAACCAATTTTATAATGGAGACAGAATTAAATATTCTTTTACATATACATCTTATCCTTGTTCACATTTATAAAAATTCTATTCGATTTCAGCCACAGAATCAGAGACGAGAGCATGAAAGTTTATTGTGATGAACATGAACGAATATTGGAAGCAGTCTCTATTGTATATTGCGCTTTCTATCATTAAGCTATCGAGTCAACGGGAATTGATCTAGACATGAAGAAATATAGCCCCGTGAAGTTCGCAAATTTTTTATATATTTGCATTACAAAATTTGCGAACTTCGCAGGGCTATATTTTCTTCATTTTACAACATTTCGCAACCAATCTTTGCAGTTTTACTCATTCTAAGACGCTCTTTCTAGCTGTGGTGTTGGATTTCGTTCTTCTTGCCTTGATCAAAATTTAGTCTATGACTGGAATCACCCATTTAAGTGCACGAAATGCTAATTGTCTTGGTGGACGCGCAGAGTTTCAATTCTATTTCCGAAACATCCTCAAAAATTTTTCCAAACTCTTGAACGGGATTCGAATCCCTTGTCAGAATAATATATATAGCCCGATAGGTTTGCTACAGAACCTGGTTAATAACAGTGCTTTATGCTGTGACGAGTTTATTCTGTAATAATATTCGAATGATAATAACCCCCTTACCCTAACTGCTGACTCTAACCCGTAAACAACTGATGAGACTTTGCCCCGTTGGAGACTGTTTGCATAATTAGCATAATTAGGATGTATCGAGATCACGTATAACCTAAAACAAACACATCGTAGACTGTGGTTTTTATTTCACATGCAGGTTTGGGAAACTGTGATCTACGTAAACTGAGACACGCCTTGGCCAGGCTGTCTTTATAAGCTGCTGCGAATCGTAGAAAGGTATCAGTCTTTGAGGAGACCGCGTAGAAGTGGTTACAATAAAGATAGGACGCAATTGAGGAGAACTGAGAATTTGGAGAAAGATTTTACACAAAAAAGGTTAGTTGCAGTTTTGCTTTATATAAATTCTAGTACCCTGGGGTATACAGTAGTTTGTTTTTTCTCTAAAAAAATAATTTTTTTATCAACTTTACAATAAATTGCGCTATTGATGGTAGCATGTCTACGTCTGTCAAGATATGACGCTTTGGAAGCTCGACAAACTTCAAAGCTACAACTTATGGAAGGCCTTTGCTGTTGAAATGTACCTCACCGTGATCAAATCCTTTGTCTCAATTTCATTAAATATTATTCATCGTGGTTGCCCGTTTCATCTCAGCTATCCCTATTGGACGATTACTTCATCATACGAAAATACAATGACCTCAATCACCGTGACCGTATACAAATTAACATAAACTCCGACAAAAACATAATGACTTCTGTTTAGTTTCCAGGTCATCATATCTTGATATATGTAACTCAAATTAAGTGATATGAAGCCTCTCCACTCTTACTCTTATCAACTTTGAGTCAATTTAACTACGCGCGGTGTTATACAGTGAAGGCAACCTTCGTCAACTCTCGGCTAGTTCCTCGGGTAGAGGAGAACTGATCACGTGATCGGCTAGTTGTATTGTTTGTGGCGTCAGATATAACCCAATCCCTATCTCTAGTCCTTACCCTAACCGTAACCCTAACCTCAACACTAATCACTATAACTAACTGATGACGTAATCTGTGATGCAAATTCTTCTACCCGAGGAAGTACCCCAACTCTCACCTTCCTTTTTGAGCGGGGCTATACACTGCATCTAAATACATTGAAATGCAGTGATACTGAAAGAGCTACAGACCAACACAACACAACACAACACAACACAACATCTATAACACATGAACTTTTAGAAGTAAAAAATTACGGAACAGGGGTGACGTTTTGAGTTTTGCAGTTCTCGGACAAACTATGTCAAAAAGTTTAAAGTTGTCTGTTTAATGTTTAAAGCTTGTGGACAGAATCCGAATTATTCTAACTGTTTAGGACCTTATAACATTATAGGGATTTAGGTGTTCAGTCTACTGTAAATTTAAGTAGCATCAGTTTCTGTGTAATAATGTAAGTATAGATCTATACCAGTTATGCTAAAGAAAAATAACGTCGCCGTAGCCAGTTTTCCTCGATAGAAATCGTAGAATCGTGATGATTATCGTGGACTTTTCTTGTTTGGGAAGAGACCCTCGAAACTTTAGATTCTTTCTTTTGTTTGTTGGAAACACCACGTATATTTATTTGCCTTTGATCTTTGCTTCTGATCCACATAAGCCGGATCTTCGTCCGCATGTAAAAAAAAGTTCTGTTCTGTTCCAAGTAGAGAATATAGGATTAGTGATGTATAAAAAACAAGTATAAGACATGGGATTATCAATGTACGTAAAGAAGCTATAATAAACAGGAATATAAATTGCTTTGCTATATAACTTATTCGTCTTCGTGGGTTCTCGGGAGGAACATATAAGATTGAGGAACGTTTTCAATTTTTCACGCGCATACTTTGTGGGAGAATCACTATTATATCGTACACTTCCTTTTCTGTCGTTTGAGATATGTAACATAAATACAGCCAAGTATACTTTGTTATTGCATACATATTATGGCGTAATGTACGGTCAAGTTCTGCATTGTTTTTACGCACTTTTGAGGAATATTTGAAAAAGACGAATTCAGGATCCAAGGAACGTCAAGGGACCGGTCATTATTTATGGTGGGAGTTGGCACCGAAGGGAAAACGGTTGGGTAAACAAAATTTTGAATGAGTAAAAGGTTGGGTAAATGAAAAACAGAACAATTATTACTCAAGGGTTGGGTAATAAAAATTTCAATTGTCATTTCCAAAGCATGACTCACTCAAGTATTTACACTAAAAGTCAATGTCAACAGCCATATGTTATTAATACAATATGTAAATCAATCAGAGTCATTATCTTGATCATTTTCCGATTTGTCAGGAGGCAAATGGTGTCTCTAAAGAGAGTACATATGCAGACAACATGAAACATTATACTGCAGAAAATTGCACAAATAGTTATCAAACTCATGTCACAGAAGTGGTAAAGGACATGTGTGACAACTTAACGGTATCAAAGTTTTTGGCCAGGGGTGGGTATTTATTTTTTAAGTGATATTTGAGTTTGGCTAAAAAAATTTTTAGCTTCGGGTCCCCCCCCCCCGCATAAATAATGACCGCTCCCTTTTTCCAGATCTCTGTTCTTGTACATTTGTACATTTATACCAATTTATGCGTCCTTGCATTTTGTATGAAAAAGGACAGGAAATACTTAGAAACGTAAACCGCAGGGTTCAGCAATATCGCAAAACGATCAAACGAGTGTAACTAACAATAATTATACATAAAGATCATCATTTGTGTTGCCATACGCCCACATAAATAGTTTATTTGATGACTTTTTACGATCTCAACTACAGCACTTCCTGCTTTTTGTGCCGCTTCACATTACGTTTCCGGACTGCACAAGGTTTAATATCGTAAAATATAAATGTGTAAGCATTTTTAGAGCGCTCGGCAACGCGTGTTAGCATTGTAAAAAAAGCCAGTTTACACTATCAAAGTTTCTGTGATCACAGTAGGAATTTTGCATCGGTAAATTCTAAGTTTTGAAGGATTTGTAAGAAATGTCTGAGGAAACTAACTCTCACAAATCCTTCAAAACTTAGAATTTCCTATGCAAAATACCTACTGTGATCACAGAAACTTTGAATGGTCTAAACGGAGACGTTGAAAATTTGATAGATTTAAGACGACTTGAATTTAGCTGTTACGTATATGACGTACGCATGCGTATTCTTTGCTACATCGTGTAGTGATATATTAGTTATAAGCGCATGTAGAGTTGGGCTATAACTTATTTTATTTTAATGATACCTATATAGGAATTATATTTCCGTTTCTTTCAAGGCATTGTCATGCGTAAATGTCATTCAAGTAATTAAAATATTAAGAAATTTTGTATATATAAGACTTTTAACTCTTTTCTCTTTGGGATTAAGCGGAGACGTCCACAATTTGGATTAAGCTGAAAGATCCGCAATTTTCCCCCCACCCAATGCGTAAGCCTTTAATTAACTCGTGTGGTTTCCCTTTACGTATATACAGTCATGTGTCTCAGACAATGTCTTCTGTCATACAACAGAACGTTTTATTAGGTACACGCCTCGGAAGGATTAAGATCGTAGATTATTGTAAACTTTTATCAACATTAATTAACTTGTTGTATTAATTATTATGAATTGTAAGAAGAGGGGCTATTTTGACACCGGAGAATTAGGGACCGCGGTCATTATTTATGGCTGGGATGGCGCCGAAGAGAAAAGGGTTGGGTAAACAAATTTTGAGTGAGTAAAAGGTCGGGTAAATAAAAAACAAAACAACTCGAGGGTTGGGTAATAAAAATTTATTGTCATTTC